AAAGATAGAGGAGCGGATAGAAGTGACAAGAAGACGAGGAAGAAGACGTAAGAAGATGCTGGATGACCTTGGGGACAGAAGAGGATATTCTCATTTGAAGGAGAAAGCTCTAGATCGCATCAAGTGGAGGAATTGTTTTGGAAGATACTGTGGACCTGTCGTCTGACAGATTACTGATGATGATGATGATGATGATGATGATGATGTTGTTGTTACAACGGCACCTTTGCTAATGAAACGGTCATAAGCTTGACCGCCGCCAAGTTTAAGCCTCCTATATTTTCCCAGAGAACATGGTTCTGAAAAGAATATTTAGACCTACGAGAGAAGAAGTAACAGAAAGCTGAAGAAAACTGCGTAATGAGGAGCTTCATAACTGTATTTCTCACCAGACATACGTGTAATTAGGATGATCAATTCAACGAGGATGAGATGGGTGAGACATTAAGCACGAATGGGAGAGAAGCGCATACAAAGTTTCTGTTTGGAAATTGAGCACTACGAGGACCTAAGTATAGACTGGTGGATAATATTAAAATGGATCTTAAATAAATATAATATGAGAGTGCTGCGATATTCACGGCTCTGAAAATAAAATTTACTGTCTTTTTTTTGGAGGTGATACCGTGTAGTCTGGTAGACATTTACCTGAATTTAGAGGAACGTGCTGTCTCTTGTCTTGTACCGTGAACAAGAACGCAGCAAATCATCGGGAAGTGGTGGAAATATCTATCAGACTACGGTAATATTCAAGAGTTCTACCTTCTGGGATATAACGCAGTGTAGTCCGTTGAAAATAAACCGACGTTTCAGAGGGATATGTCTTCATCTTAAGCTTCGAAGTAATAGCCAAAAGAAACCGGCATGAAAGAAGCAGTAAGCAGGGCTACAAGGTGGTTTATTGCATGATTTATTCTTGGGCTCTGAAGATGGAGGCAGAATTTTTCTCCGAAGCGTTTACATGGAGTTATATCCCAGGAGATGGAACTTTTCATACCCACCGCTGTGACACTGCAAGGTTTTTTCATAAGCCTATTTTTTTCTTCAAAATAAGGGAAGGTGGCTAAAAATGCGCTACATTCCTACGCGTTATGCCAGAGATGACACAGAACCCCGATACCTTGATCCACAAAGAAGACAGATTACGAATAAAGATAGAATAACCGAAAACGTGACTCACGTAGGCCATTTTGTGTGGAAGGCTGCGTATTCTCGTGAAATCTCACGATTAACAATAGCAGTTATAAGAAGTCAATTGTAGTTAACAACCCAATTGTAAGACATGACTAGAAGTATTCCAGTGAACGCGTCGAAAAACTGTGGCGTGTAGAAACCGGTTAAGAATTACTGATCATGTCGCCTTAAAGGAAATTAAATTCCCTTGAAGCCGGATCTCACCGGGTTCAGTCTACCAGTTAATCTTGAGTTTTACCGACAACCATTTCCCACAATTGTCAGGATCGTAAAATTTCCAATTTCACATCGCTAGTCTGGTGGAAGAAAGAAATCACATTACCGGTGTTGAATCAATTAATTAGCATAATTGGTCACACATTTCTCACATTCCTGTCAGAATTAAGAACAATATAACTCTCTTATAATTCGCTGTGCCATACATTTAAAAATATTTAATATTTTATTTAAAACTAGGAAGATAAAGCATGGCCATTAGAATAAAGAACAAATTTACGTATAACACAGAACTACCTAATAAATCTTTAAAAAATGTGACGACGTTGAAGCATTGGAAACGACGTAGAATAATATGAATTAAATTAAAGAATAACTAACTTCATGGCAGTGAGCCCTTCTTGAGAAGCTGCCAGTCACGCAGCTACTCAAGAACTTTCCAGTATTTTATGCAACCCGAAGGTTCATTGCCGTGTTCACACTGGTCCCTATCCTAAGGCCCATCGACCCAGTCTAATCACCCCATCCTATTTCTCTTAGATACATTTTAATATTATCCACCCACCTAAGTCTTGGTCTTCCTAGTGGTCTCTGTTATGTTTGGCACCGTTCAGTTCATAATCTCCCACCTTACCCATCTCTTTTATAAAACAAACATAAACATAAAGGTAAAGTTGTCTCTGTGCTTAATTAATTAAGCACTATGCTATGAAGAATTCTGCGGAGTGGAGGCATAGTTTCACCATCCTTGACCTCGGCACTAGACGGAAATGAGTGGTCAGCTTCATGGCCCAGCCGCTTTACACCCTGGGAAATCGCCCAATTCTGGGTGGACCCCAAAGCATGTCTGTGCTTTGTAGAGAAGAGGATAATCTTCCCCGTGCCGGGATTTGAACCCCGGTCGTCCAGTGCATAGACCTTCGCTGTACCCACTGAACTAACATAAACATTGAAATATAAAACTACCCGTTCTTTTATAAATTTGTGGTAACATGGTGTCTCACTTTATACTATGAATTAACTCATTTAGCGCTAACAACGCATAACATTTAACAAGACGGTCTGTCAATAAAACTGTACTAATCTATATGATTTTCGGTCTGATTCTCCTCACACAGACGGCAGGATCATGACAACAGTCTCAGGGACTTCGGGTCTGAAGACGGTTACTTATGTCCATCGTCAGTGAAGTACGCTAGACCCAAACGCGCAAGGGCTACAAGTGGTCAATGGAAGTTCATTGTCAACACTGGAGACTACACACAAACGCTGCGACTTGAGATGTGCCAGTAAGTATTGAAACTCCGTGGCTTTAGTCTGAAAGCGAACTATACCGACCGAGCGACCGCCGCTTGTCGGCGAAGTTAGTGCCAACTTTAGCGGATAGAGTGTCGCGTGGTCAGCGCGTTACTGCGTTACTGCCGTTAATCTCGGTTTTATAGACTGGAGCCGCTATTTCCTTGAAATAGCTCCTCAATTATCCTCACGAGGCTGAGTGAACCCCGTTCCAGACCCACTACTTCGCAGAAAACCTGGTAGCGCCGGGAATCGAACCGGGCCTCTGGATCTGTAGGCAGAAACTCTGACCACTAGACCACAGAGGCGGTCCTCAGCGCCATTTATCTTAATCAAAAGCAATGCCACGAAGTCGAGCCGCGCTTTATAGCTGCCAACATTTGTTACGTCATCACTAGGAGGAGGTGAGTGACCACCTCCACTACCCAGCTGTTTTACACTCGGGAAACACCCGGAATACACATTGTGTAGAAATTCGGTAGGCCTCAGTGCCAGCCTGGACAAGGTACCGAGGAGACATCACTGTCACTGCGGGGAACTAAACCCGGTGTTCTAGTGCACACGGCCAAAAAACAACCTGCGGCTTATATAAAAGGCGAGGAGTTTTTGTCAAACGATAGACAGCGAGGTGTTCAAGAACTCTGCTAGATAAAGTTTCAGGCCGTTATCTGGTCTCTAGGTTCAGTAACATCTAAAATAAGAGCTACAGCAAGATGAAGCGTCACAATATTTGTAGCTGCATTGTGGGAGGAAAGTTGACGCACTGTAATTAATACCCTGTTATAAGTTATACGCATCCTATCCATCTATCTGTGGTTCTAAAGCTCTTTCTTGGACCTTGGCCGCTTTTTAAGTTTCTTGATCTTTTATACAGTCGATAGGACTACCTGGACGGGGGATCAGCCCGTCAAAAGGCCGCTACCTACACGCAGGACAACATAAACACAGAATAAACGCATATAATACAGACACCCGCGCACTGACTTGGATTCGAACCCATGATTCCAGCGTTCAAGCGAGTGAAGACAGTTCGTGCCTTAGACCTCGCGACCAATGTGAGGGCCGATTGGACCCACTGACCATTTAAATTGTACCAAAATACAAGATTACAATTATAAATTTCTGTTTGTGTGCGTTTGTGACGTTGCAGGCGACCCCATGAAGCGTGCACCTTCATTTCTGACAACTTCAGATCCGAATGCTCGCAAGTTTACAATTATCACAGGCTTCTAACTTGGGATGACGTGAAAGGACTCCACATGGATATCTTCAAGGTACACAAACACGGTCACCGGGGAGAAACGCTACTGACATCTGGTGGCTGTTAAAAATTACGGTCTTTTCGAATGTGACGCCGTGTGTGTTTGGTACCACGTCAGGAGGACACCGTTGTCTTCATCTTCACGCCCCTCTACACCACTGAAGATGGAGGCGACAGGTGCCTATCAACCAAACTACAAGGAGTCACATACCAGAAAAGGGCGTAATTTTAACGAACGTAGCATGGTGCCTCAATCAACTATGCTACATCGTGCCCCCATACAATTGAATGTAGTCTGGTTGATTAAAACTAATACATGTATTGCAAATATGATAAAAGTAAAAATTTCCTTGTCCTTAATTAAGCTGCACTTCATGTATGGGGGGACTGGACAAACAGCTTCACACTTTCCTAACGCTGGCACTAGAAAGAGGTGAGTGGTGAGCTTCACGTTCTGACCGTTTTATCCTCGGAGAAAAAACACGATATTAATTAGACCGGGGGTTGGGTGGCCTCCAGCATCAGTCTGGATGCTGTGAAGGAGAGAAAAATCTCTTGCCTCTACCTGGACTCGAATCCAGTTTCCTCTAGCCAGTAGTCAGTCTGCTGCAAGTATTATTATATGAAAATAGCCTATGATATCAATGTTTTATGATTACTTCTTGTCCCTACATAAATCTCTTCATTCATAGACTAAGTTACTGCCGCCAAAAATTGCGTATTCTCTCTTGTCAGCTAATAAAGGGACGCCCTCAAGGCGATGTCAATCCAAATTACTGACTTGTGGGATGTGACATTCTGTAGTCTGGTACATCTTTAGGGACATTTCGGAGGAATATCTGTAAATATCTTCATGGTCGAAGAGTGCACCCTTCTACCTTACAGGGGAATGTAGCACTCCCTCCGAATTTTCGGTAAGCGCCTTCTAGCGGAGACCACCTACGCCACCTGACTTTTCCACTAAAATTAACAGCTTTTCTTATCTCCCGCCTGGATGCCTCTTGTCCTGCCATTTCATTGCCATAAAGATGAGTGATGCCTCTGAAATGCTAACTTTTTCAACTTTCTGTCCCAGGTTCCCACGTGTTGTTCGTGTCACGTGCAAGGGTACGCATTCAACTTCCCACCACGAGGAAGTCCTGATTCGCAAGGAACCTCACCACGTCCTGAACATTTTCCGGGAGCTGATTTTGTTGCCGAAGATCAAGGACTTCAACAACAAAATACGAGACCAAACGAAGGATTCCAGGCTGATTTTGTGGACGATCCTAATTTAAGACCACCATTACTTACAAATTCTGAACAATTTCACGATGAAAGTTTCAGCCAAACGTTTAACAACGATCAAGGAATAAGAGGCCCATTCAACAACAGAGGGGGGCAGTTTCAAAGTGACATATCCAGTAATCAATTCCAGGACCAAGTCAACAGGAATAAATTTAATTTTCAGGAAGAACGAACGAGAAACCAGTTCCACTTCCAAAATGACGAAACTAGGAACCAGTTCCAAGAAGATAACTCGAGAAAACATTTTCAAGGTGAAATAGACTTGAGAGCGCCGTTGCAATCACCGAAACGAGAAACTGTACACTTTCCGAAACGTCCTGAGTTGCATGTGACTCCGCCACCATCATCATTTCAAGTTCCATCTCTTTTCCAGAGACAGGGATTCAAACATCCGACGTCTGAGGACCTGATCCCTCCTGCAGGGCCGCCATTGCCCCTAGCTCACGAGAATGGCTTCCAGACTTTCTCGGGGAACCAACTGCTAAGGCGCAGTCGGAACCAGACATCGCTCGGACTACGGTAACTGCGCTTGCGCACAAATGCCTTCCTGCTATTGCTTTAAAAGGGAAATATCGGGGAGCTATGTAACAAGAGGGGGAAAACGGAAATACATACCAAATTTTTATGTGATAATCTATCAGAAAAGACCATTTGCAAGACTAAAAGAGAGGTGGGAGGAAAATATTAAGCTGGATTTAGGCTTGAAGGCCAATAAAACTTCCATAGAATCTTGTCCAATTGCTGGCTTTCGTCCTTTAGATGTTGAGACTTCAGGTTTCAATACCATAGCGTTTACCTCTTTACTGTTTATTTAGCGATCAATAGCTCAGCCAATATAGCGATGAGCTACGACCTGGACAGCCATGGTTCGATTCTCGGTACGGACAAGCGACCATTCTCTACTCCACATTGTCCAGACTGGCTCTGGAGCCCAACCAGCCTCCTGGCCATTGGTTACCGGGGATTCTTTCCTCGGGGGTAAGACGACCAGGGCATGGAGCTGTCCACCCACGTTCTAGTGAAGAGGTCGAGAATGGTGGAGCTATACCTCCACTCTCCCATAAGTCTTCATGGTGCGGTGTTTAATGAAGCAAAGGAAGAATCTTACTTGATCCAAACATTAGTTTCTTCTCAATGACTCTTCACCATGGAGTTAGCTAGTTAGTTAAGTTGTGGGGCCCACATATCATCCTATCCGATGGATACTGGGGTATTTTGTCCTAGGAGTCAAGCGGGTAGAGCATGAAGCTGACCACTTACCTTCATCTAGTGCCGAGGTTAAGGATGTATGAAGTTATACTACCACCCCGACACGTCTCCATGGCGTGGTGCTTAAGTAACTAAACACAGGGGCAATTCTGCCTCACTTTATCACTTTATTCACTGAGTGTCAGCTTCTCAAGGTCAATTCTTCTTCGCTGTTCACTTAATTTGTTCTTACAGTGACAAAACAATAAATGACACTTGTCGAAGAGGGACTTAGAGGCTGCTGGATTTCTCTGTGATCACACCACAAAGAGACGCGAAATTAACTGGGAAACGCATGTCTGTTACAGGGACGACATAGATCTTGAGGTGGAAGAAACCGCTGTCAAGAGACATCCGTTTCCTAACGCGATTTCGACGGATGCCATCCGTATTGCAGCAACAAAGGCAACAACTACAGCCATTACTACCATCTTCACGACGACCACGACAACACCAGCTCCTGTCACTCTGCCCTCGAAACCATCGTTAACGATAACAGGGGGAGGGAAGAGGGTAAATTACAACTACCATCCTATTATCGACTATTTCAAGACACAACAGAGCAAAGGCTTCGACCAGGGGAACACCCAGGACTGGAGACCTATTGTTGGAAACGCTGAACGGCTAACCAAAGACACATCGCGCTGAACAAACCGGTGTACATTTACATGAAGAGTGCTTTGCTACATGAGTACACAAAACGGAATAAATACGGATACAACTTTAATCTCTTAATGGTATCAAATTATCAAGTTATTTGCTTGAAAATTTTGAGTTACATATCTCTGAAAACGCTCTAATCGATATGCAGTTTCGATTTAAAATGGAATGCAAGAAAGACTGTTCCAAGCTTCCTGGTGAGTTTAATTGATCATAGCTCGTCACCCTACGCCATGTGCAATGCTATTTAGAAAACGGTGATGTGTGAATATGTGCTAAACTTAGACATTCAGCACAGCGAATTATATGTCTGATATTACAGACCCCGGGAAGAGTTCATTACATTTTAACAGATCTATATAAGTGAAAACAAAGGAGAAATGCCAGTGGAAACACTCGCACCAACTTTGCAAGTAAATCTGACAGTGAGTATAACGCCTACAAGGGCAAAATAAATTAAATACAATATAATTACCATATTGTGATCTTTTGGATTATGGAATCGTGTAGGCACGTACCAGTGGTTCGAAGGAAAATACTGTCTCCATCTTCAGATACAGTACGATAAGATGGGAACAACAGACTCCTTTGAAAAGTTTGTACTTACTTATTCCTTCGCTTTACGGTCTCTATGGGCGGCCGCACGCCAACTGCGTCAAAACAAGCATCAAGACATGAGACAAAAGACGGAGTCTTACTTCTTTCGTGATTCGTCAGCATGAAGCTAACGTCAGCATCATGACTCAGATCGGTTTGCGGTGGTTTTCATAATCTCATTCGTTTCAGTTGTGCTCCTTTCTTTGCGTCATGTCGCAGACATCGTGTCTTGACTGTTACATGTCTTGACGCATGCCGGTTTGCGGCCTACCTTAGTCCCTTAGCATTCTTTACAACAGATATCCAATCTTCCGCATTATGTGCAGTTTTTCTCCATGACTCTCATAAATCATTCTCTACATCTTCCAACGACCTCAATCTGGTCCTTCTCACTTTACCTATATATTCTGGCTTACTTTAAAAGTGATCTTAGCCACCCTTGTTTAATCCATTCCGATCACATGGCAAAGCCACTCAAACTTTCTACTTTTAACAATCGCTACCGGATCAGCGTTTTTTATATAATTCCCTCAGTTCTTGGTTAGTTATGAGCAGGGCCCGGATTTTTCTGACCTGAAAATATTTAAAAAATTACCTATAAAATTACCGAAAAAATCCAGAAAAATGACCTAAAATATGAGCCAAAAATGTAATATGCAGGGCCCGGATTTTGATGACCTGAAAATATTTAAAAAATGACCGAAAAATCCAGAAAAATGACCTAAAGGAGAAAAGAAAGAGCACTTCGCTTCCATGTTATTCATATGAAGAAAAATTTCTTAAAATGGCCAAAAATGACAAGAAATACCCTTAAAAGTCCAAAAAATTACCCCCCAAATGAAAAAACGAACTTAAACCTAAAAATGCCAAAAATGACAAAAAATTACCTATAAAATTTACATTTCTGTAACCAGCAGCTCATATCCGAGATTTATATATTTAAGAGCATCGCATAGGATACTAAGAAAAAAAGATGACATGTCATCAAAATCCGGGCCCTAGTTATGAGTGTGTAAACCTCTTTCTCGCCGGTCACAGCGGCCGCGCGGTCTTCGCTCGTTCGAACGCTGGGATCGTAGGTTCGAATCCCACTCAAACTATGAGCATTTGTCTGCGTTTATTTTGTATCTGTGTTGTTCTGTGTAGGCAGCGGCCTTGCGACGGGCTGATCCTCCGTCCAAGGAGTGCAATCGAGTGTCTAAGATTCAGAAATGGAAACGAAACGAAGCGTTTCACGGATGCTCTATGCTCCAGAGGGAGCAACAGGAACAAAGAAGATGGATACCCTTTGCTCATTTCCACCTCCATCAAGATTATCTTCTCCATGCTACTTGATATAACTTCATCCCTTTCAATGTACCAAAACACACATTGTCTTAACCTAGAAGCCTATACAATATCAATCTTCACTTCCGCGACTGCCTCAAATCTCAACATATAATTGGAAGATGTATCAATAAATTATTAAGAGTTTTATGTAAATATATATAATAAACAGTCTACACAATGATCGACGTAAGCATTGTTGTTTCTAATTCGTCCTCCTCTTATTGAATTAATGTCACATTTTCGTGCAGTGTTTAAATTAAACAGGTAATGGAACTTAACGGCCGTTCACGGTAGCCGAGCGGTCTAAGGCATGTACTGTCTTCGCTCGCTCGGAAGCCGGGATCGTGGGTTCGAATCCCACTCAGGGCATGGATATTTAGTTTGTGTGTGTGCGTTTTCTGTGTTTGTGTACTGGTAGAGGCCTTGCGACGAGCTGATCACCCGCCCAAGGAGTCCTACCGAATGTGTAAGATCTAGAAAAACCGAAGTGAACGGAGAAGTTCATGGAGGTAGGCCTAGGCCCACTGGGGCTGTAGTGCCAAGGAAAAAAGATAGACACTTTACGAACTTGACACTAGAATTACTTTTCTGATGCTCCTCTATGCCGTTGTATTTAAACCCAATACAGATAGGAGAAACCTGTGAAAGTTAATAATGTCTCACATACTGTAGACATCAAATCCTGACATCATTTTCAACGTTGCCATGGAAACTATAGCAGTATAGCGGCATATAACACCGTGCAGTCCGTTGAAAGTCAACCAACGTTTCGGAGGAACATACTACCTCCATCTTCAGGGTCAAGCAGGATACTATTGTGACGATGGATGTGACATATATTATTTGGTTCATCCTAGTTCGTCACACTAGCAATATCATAAGAGGTAAGAACTCCGTCCACTGTGACTGATAAACGTTTTTTCCACCTTTTTAATTTTTCATCCTTGACATGTTTCGGTCTGAGAGAGAGGGGGGGAGATCATCTGCTTGTATTGATATATCCTGCTGAAGATGGTCTCTCAGACCGAAACATGTCAAGGTCGAAAGAATAAAAAGGACAAAAATAAGATTTATCAATCACACTGGATGGAGTTGATAACCTTTTATAATTGATGTGCTATGTTCCTCCGAAACGCCGGATGACTTTCAACGGACTACACTTCACAATCACCGTTGCGAGAAACTCAAATCCTGTATAGCAGTAAAGATCGTCTTTAAAAAAAGTTTGTGTATTCTTTGGAATAGAGTTCTCCACTTCTGTCAATATTTTTACTTCGGTATCGTGTTGGCGACCTCATTATTCAACACCCAAACACTGGGCAGCTGGTGGTACTGTCCACCTTACAGTGAAAGGCGTCGTGCCAGGAACCGCTGTGTGCACTTCCCACTAAGGGAAACCGATGTCTATCAGCTTAAGATCATGAACATATTTTACTGCACGAAATATGAGAATGCACTGCTTCCACCTTCAGGACAGAAGACTTGGAGGCACTATTTTCTTCCAAGGCGATGGACTACATTAAGTCATGACTTATGAAATACAATAAAACAAAAACAAAAACGAACGAATCCCCACGGCAGTTAACTTCGGTTTTCTAGACCGGAGCCGCCATTTCTCGCTCCTCAGTTGTTATCACGAGGGTGAGTGGACCCCGTTCCAGGCCCACTACTTCTCAGAAAAAATCTGGTAGCGCCGGGAATCGAACCCAGACTTCTGGATCTGTAGCCAGGAACGCTGACCACTAGACCACAGAGGCGGTCAATGAAACACAATATCAACGTATTTTACTGTAAGAGATTTGAGAACATGCTGCCGCTAGAAAACTTCTTTCCTGAAGATTGAGGCAATATATGTATTCCACTGAAACGTGGGTAATCAAACAGTAGATTACACGGTGCCATAACCCAGATAATTACAGTATGATGATATTTGGGAATATATTGGCTGGATCTTCAGGATAGAGGCCTTCTACCCTGAGGACGGGGGCAATATGTGCCACCGAAAGGTTGGTAATCACACATAAGACTATACGGCGTTATAATCTAGAAAAATTCGAGGTTAAAGTGGCCGGATTGTGAATTCTAATATTAAGGTTATGAATACATGGAGCTATACTTCAGCTCCCCATACGTCTGCATGGTGCTTCGTTTAAGTGAGTACAGGGATAACTCTGTCTTCTACCTTTTAGAAAAACAGAGTGGCCTGAAAACAATTAAGCTAAACCATTCTCTCGTTCAAATTTAAACATACCAGTCAATTTGCTGAACAGTAGCACAGAGTTGGGAGTTGTGCACTGAACATGGAACACTTTCTATAAATTCAGCGAGTCATAAAGAAACTTCTAACGTACTTTAGCGTACATTTTACTGATCTGTTAACTGTTCATGCCGTGTATGTGCAACTTCCGTTACTATTCACTCGTCGTTGTCACTGCATGTTACGACCTAACCTGCCATCTTAAGCTGTACAGGTTGTTGTGATGAAGGAACTTGTTGCTTACTGCAGGGCTGCTTTGTTTCTTTTATGTGGTTGCCTCGGATTACATCTGGTTATGTGGGTTAACCGTCTGTTTTAGTTTTTGTGTCCTTGAGCTGCATGCGCTTTTCCTGTGGGTTTGTTTGATAAGTTGGCTGTGACTGTGGTGTCCTTGAGCTGCAAGTGTTTTTCTTGTTGTTTTGTTTGGTTTGTTGGTTGTGACTGTGGTGTCCTTGAGCTGCAGGGTTTCTCTTGTGGTTTTGTTTGATTTGTTGGCTGTGACTGTGGTGTCCTTGAGCTGCAAGTGTTTTTCTTGTGGTTTTGTTTGGTTTGTTGGCTGTGGCTGTGGTATCCTTGAGGTGCAAGTGTTTTTTCTTGTTGTTTTGTTTGGTTTATTGGTTGTGGCTGTGGTGTCCTTGAGCTGTAAGTGTTTTTCTTGTGGTTTTGTTTGATTTGTTGGCTGTGGTGTCCTTGAGCTGCATGTTTTCCTTGTGGTTTTATTTGGTTTGTTGGGCGTGCGTGTGGTGTCCTTGAGCTGCAAGTGTTTCCTGTTCTTTTGTTTGGTTTGTTGGTTGTGACTGTGGTGTCCTTGAGCTGCAATGAATTTATATAAGAATAATTTCGAAGGCCACATCCTAAAACTTAATTTTTTCGCTTGCTAAAGATTTACCCTCTCTCAAAAGAACTTCTACCAGAAGGACGAGCGGGTACTGCCTGGGGACCTTCAACAACGGAGATAAAAATAATTTTTCTTGCTCTCCCCCACCCCTTTAAATGTAGTCTATCTCACTACCCACCCCACTCTCTCCCTTTCAATCTATTAAGGGCTCTATGCAGTAATTCATTCCGAAGAAGTCTAATGATGGCACATATCAATCTCTGACTGAAATATTGAGTATTATCCGCCACCCTAGTTCTTTTCGCATCACAATTTTTCTAAAATGGGCTTTGACTTCTTTACCAGGTAACAAGCTTAAATAAGGAATATATGATACAAACTCCGTCCTAAGTGCAACAATTTATTGTAGGTCTTTCGTCTTGCTTTCTTTTACACTACATGTTTCGGCCGCAAACGGCCATCATCAGGTGTATACACTCAAGTAGCTGTTACACTGCACTTAGTTTAAAATTTAAAAACACCGGTCTTCCCAATTGTTCCCTTCGTCGTCGCTAACAGAATCTACTTCGCTGATATTTGTCTGATCCGTACATTATCTTTGTTACCTACACACGTCAATTTTGACTTTCATGAACTGGCACTTTTAAATCTTCAGTTTCAATTTTAAAAATTCCTTTAAAATTTTTTCTAAACTTTAAAAGT